AAAAACTTGGCATTTTGTTTTTTTTTTTTTTTTTTTTTTCTAAAAAAAATTCTGTTTTTCTATGGGAACAAAGGAAAGGACTTTGGATTTCACGTTGTTTCATATGCAGAGATAGCAATAAGGTAACATTCCACTGTGCCCATTTTGAATTTCTCTTCCTCCATTGAGACTGACTTATCAATCCTTTTGTCAAGACATATCAACCTCTTTCTCAACTATGAAACAAACCCTTTTTGGCCCTCTTTTGCCTATTTGTTCATACTCATATCTTATTCTTACCCCTATTTGGCTATCCTCTTTCAAATTTACTTTTATTCCTTTAATAAGTTCCGCTGAATTAGGTTAACAATTAGACGAACACGACTCTCCACAATAATATAATATTATCCACTTTGAGCATAGACCTCACACCAATAGAGAGAGTATTCTTTGATTATAAACCCATAATCATTCCCTCGGACCAAGTTTAGGGCATGGCCTCACATTTGAGGATTTACCAATCTATTGGCACGATTAAGTTTAGGGCATGACTCTGGTACCATGTTAGACAAATATGACTCTCTCCATTGGTATAAGGCCTTTGAGGGAAGCCTAAAGCAAAGTCACGAGAGCTTATGCTCAAAGTGGACCATATCATACCATTGTGGAGAGTGGTTATTCCTATAAAAAAAAAACTCGAAAGTGTTTAAATTAAGTCAAAAGATGTGATGTCTTACATTGGTTGGAGAGGAGAACAAACCACTATTTAAGTCAAAGGAAGACAATATCTGCTAGCGGTGGATCTGAGTCGTTACAAATGGTATCAAAGCCTGACACCGGACGATGTATCAGCCTTCTCGCTGTTCCCCGAAGGGGGGTAGACACGAGGCAGTGTGCTAGTAAGGACGCTGGCCCCCAAGGAAGTGGATTTGGGGGTGGCCCCACAACGATTGGAGGAAGGAAAGAGTGCCTGCGAAGACGCTGAGCCCCGAAGGGGGGTGGATTGTGATGTCCCGCATTGGTTGGGGAGGGTTGGGGAGGAGAACAAACTACCATTTATAAGGGTGTGGAAACCTTCTTCTACGCATTTTAAAGCCTCGAGGGGAAGCCCAAAACGGACAACCCAAACAGGACAATATCTACTAGGGGTGAATCCAACTTTTAATCCAAACATAAAAAGAATAATACAATGCTTTGAAAAAGCAGGGCCAAAAGAAAGGCATAGATCTTAGGTTTATAAAAATTTAAAATAAATTAGTCTCTAATAATCGTTGGATATATATTGGAAAATACAATATTTTGTTTAATACATTCAACGATAGAGAAAGATGGACTAATTTTTAAATCCTAAATCCGAGAAAAAAAGAGCTTCTTTAATCTCCCAATAAACTTCAAAAATAATTCTATGATAATGGCGAGAATTAAGCGAAATAAAGCACAGTAAGAGCTCTTCCAATTCTTTCCCACCAAAAATCTCTCTCTCAACCACCATCTCCGCCATAGACGCCTTGAAATCCTTGTATGGATCGGAGGAGTTTTCCACCACCGCAAAAAACCCATCTTTCACTTTCTTCTCTGATTTCCGGCGACTATGCCGGCGGCGGCGGAGTCGCGACACGGAGGAATTGGACGTTAAACTCCGGGAAGAGAATAGAGTCTCTGTTTCATCCTCTGTTTCGTCGTCGCCACCGTACCACCAAGCGCCGCCGAAGTCCTCCGTGGTGGGCGCCGTTGTGGGTCTGGTGGGGTATTTTTTTCTGTTGGTTTTTGTGGAATTCTTGGGTTTGGGTTTGTGGCGAGATAAACAGTCTTTGAGGTGGGAAAGAGGGGGTGAAATGGGAGAGGCGGGAGGGGCGAGAAAGGAATTAGGGGGAAATAGAGGGGGTTTTGATGAAATATTGGGGGGTTTTGATGAAATATTGGTGGGTTTTGAAGGGAGTAAAGGGAGGTTTTGAAGAGGGGTGGAAATGGGAATGGGAATGGGTTGGCTTGTGATGATGATGTCGGAGTTCTTTTTGGAGCGGCATGAGAAGAAGGAGGATTGGAATATGCGTGAGAATCGGAGTTTGAATCTTCTTTCCATTGGAGAGAGATAAAAGGTTTTAGCTTTTGAATTTGTAGGACAAAATGAGAGGGAGATTGAGCTTTTAGCTTTTGAAGAAGAAGGAGAGAGAGAGAGATTTGACCTCTTGATGAAGAAGAAGAAGAAGAAGAAGGTGAGAGAGTTTTGAGAGGCTTTACCTTTAAAAAAAAGAAGAAGATTATAAAGAACCAGAGTATATATATATATATATATATATGTCTATTTAATCCCGGTAGTTATCAGAAACGAAATATTCCTTACAAGGGCGTGAAAATCTCTCCTTAGTAAATGCGTTTTAAAAACATTCCTTATAATATCTGCTACTGGCGGGTTTTGAGTTGTTACAAATGGTATGCCAGTGAGAACGTTGAACCCCAAAAGGGTGGATTGTGAGATCCCATGTGAAGGGGAATAAAGGTTGTTACAAATGGTATCAAAGAGTAAGGGCACTTGACCCACAAGGGGGTGGTTTGTTAGATCTCATGTCAAGGGATGCCAACAAGAATGCTGAGTCTCCAAGGGGTGGATTGCGAGATCCCAGGTCGAGGGGAACGAAGGCTGATACAAATGGTATCAGAGTCAGCGAGGGTGCTCAACCCACAAGGGGGTGGTTTGTAAGATCTCATGTCAGGGGATGCCAGCGAGGATGCTAGCCCCCAAGGGGTGGATTGTGAGATCCCACGTCGAGGGAAACGAAGGCTGTTACAAATGGTATCAAAGTCAGCGAGGGCGCTCAAGCCACAAAGGTGTGGTTTGTAAGATCTCATGTCAGGGAACAAGAACTCTTACAAATGGTATCAGAGTCAGAGATTAAGCAGTGTTCCAGTAAAGACACAAGGCCACCAAGATGGCAGATGTTAGATCCCATATCGATTAGAGAGGGAAATAAAATATTTCTTATAGAGGTGTAGAAACCTATTCCTAATAGATGGATTTTAAAATTGTGTGGTTGACGACAACATGTAACAAGCCAAAGCGAATAATATCTGTTAGCTATGAGTTTGAACTGTTAAAACGAATTTCTCCCACGGTTAAATTGAGCTATCCATAGAGATTATATTTTTTTAGTTTTGGTCTATCTCAGTCTACTTTGTCTATTAATATAAAATTTAGACTTAAATTTTAAAAATTAGGTTGGCATAATATTATATTATTATTTATATAATATTATTATAATGTTATATATATATATATATTAAATAAAATTATATTTAAAAGATGGAAACTATCAATTAAAAATTTATTCGAAAGTAATATTTAATTTGCAAATTTGAGGGAAGCAATAGTAAAGATTGCATGAAGCAAATAAAAAAGAAAACCTAATTTAAAGACAATACTTCTAAATATAATTAAATTTCATTGAATTCATATTTAAGCCATTATTCTAAGTTTAATTTTATGTCACCTTCTTTTTAAAATAAATAAAATTATTATAATATTACAATTTATTTCAGTTTGAACTTTTATTTATTTATAATTATCGAAAATTTTGAATTTGAAAAAAAGCAAAATTATTGTCAAATAATACATTCAAATTTTAATTTATTTCACGAAAATGGCGGCAGCATAAATCAATCATTTATTTCCAATTTAAACAAATTATTGACTTAATTTCAAAGTGACAAAACAATATTATTTTGGTAATTGAATTTTCAAATATATATATATATTTCGAATTTATAATTGTATTATAATGTCTTTAAAAGTAGCAAAAAAGAAGGTTTGAAATTTGAAATTTATAATTATATTATATGAAATTATGGAAAATTATTCTTGCTTTCCTAGGCCTATTTTTCGGTAGCCAGGTACCATAGGGTCTAGGCATTAAATATAAAGAATCTTCTATCTTTTCATCTGCTTTCCCCCCTATTTTATAATAAGATATGGTGACTATGAGTTAAATAGTTACTAATATATATATATATATATTTTATTATATAGTTTTTAAAAAATTAATTAATATTTTATTTCCACATTTTTGTTCTCATAGTGCTCCCTATTTCATGCCTCAACTTTAAGCCTTGTGTTTCTTAAAGGTGGTGGATTTATAATTTCAATTTATAATTTATTAATTTTACATTTAAATTGAAAATGCGACGAAAAAAATATATGAATGAACCGATATTACATTTGAATGAGAGTGATCGTGAAGATAAGATAGTTAAAAAAATATTTAAAATAATCAATATTTATTATTCTTACCAACAATGCACTTTCCTTATAACTCAATCATAGAAACTCCATAACTCAATCATAGAAACTCCAAAATGAAGCGTATTTTACTTGGAGCAATCTACAATTTTTATAAGAAATTGTTAAGATATTATATTTGGAGAATATATTAGTTATGAAATATATCTTAGATATTATATTTTAAATTGATTTATAGTATATTTTATTTTATTCTCAATATTTAATTAGTTTATATTTTACTTATTTGTAGGTATTAGTTGGTAGCTTGTATCTTATTTAAAGGTTATCAATGAGAATATACACCTTCGATCCTAATTCTATTTCTCATTATTAACAGAAACTTGTGAATGAAGATAAAATGTGTTAAAAAGGCTCGTGTTGGTATGTGGGAATAGCTTTCACTTTTATGAGTACTTTAAAACAGTAGGTAACATGATCATGTTGTAAAAGATTTAGATAAATATCGAGCTCATCTATAACAGTCCAAGCTCATCACTAACACATATCGTTTGTTTTGACCTGTTACGTATCACCATCAAGCTCACGGTTTTAAAACATTGCGATAGAGAGTGTCTGACTCTTCTTCAACTAATGATTGACTCTGATACCATTTGTAATAGTTCACAAATATTGCCCGTTTTGGCACGTTACGTATCGCCGTCAATCTCACGGTTTTAAAACACGTCTACTGGGGAGAGATTTTCACACCGTTAGAAAGAATGTTTCGTTCCTCACTCCAATCGACGTAGAATCTCAAAGCAAAATATCACTGAGAAGGGCATGAATCCATGAATCTAAAGCTCACATATTTAGGAATGATATGGGACATAATTCCCAAAATAAATACCAAAAAAGGACAATATTTTGGTAGTGGACCTATTCATTAATTAACTTAAGTGCCCTCTTTATTAGACATTGGATTTGAAATTTAAATTCCGAAGGAGACAAGCAATAAATATTAAATTTTTAAACGGGGAGCAAGGGGTTGTTAGAAAAGACTGTAAATAAGTTAAAACAACTCAATATTAGGAGCTTAATTAAATAATTACAAAATTCATAAAAATTAATGCAATATGAATTAAATTAAAATATTTGAAACTTGGACCTTACAAAACAAAACGGTTTGAATTTAAAATTTGATTAAAGTTTTGGGCAAAAGTGAGATTTTCCACGTTCAATTGGGTCTTTTTTTAGAACAAAAAAATTGATTGGGCTTGATGTGTATTATTCAAAACTTACGACAAATGTGGAAACTAGGTTTTATTTTTTTTTTGTTAGTATATGTAAAGTGGATGATCTATTGACTTTTAGTGTCTTTTTTTTTTTTTTTTTGCAAAAAATAATAATAATAAATTTAAAGATTTTTTTATATAAAAAAAATTTGATAATTGTATTTTTTAAAAAAATAAAAGTAGTTTTATATTTTTAATAACTACCTCAAGTTTGGCTTGGTTTTGTACCGATACCAACACTAATCCTTACAACATGTTTTGTTGTCACTTAAATATATCAAGCTTAACTTTAGAGTTTCTATGATTGAGCCACTTAGGAAGAATGCACATTTTATTGGTATAGACAGAACATTTTCTTAATCATCCTATTTTCATGATTGGCTTGGTTTTGTATAGCATCTCTTTTGACAATTATTTAATTTTTTATGTACAGCCCAAACCCATCGCTAACAGATATTTTTCGTTTTGGCCCGTTATGTATCATCGTCAACCTCACAATTTTAAAACGCGTTTTTTAGGAAGAGATTTTCACACCGTTACAAGAAATGTTTTATTCTTCTTTTCAACCAGAAATGTTTTAGCTGTGATGTTCCACGTTGGTTGGTGAGGAGAACAAACCACCCTTTATAAGGATGTGGAAACCTTCCCCTAGCCGATGCGTTTTAAAGCTTTGAGGGGAAGCCTGAAAGGGAGAGCCGAAAGAGAACAATATCTGCTAGCGGTGAATGAATGTGGTATAAGTTCATTCATGTCCTGCTCTCACATATTTTATATAAATGTTTCATTCTCCTTTACAACATAGTACAGATCTCACATTTTAATGTTTTTTTAAAATTAATTTTTGTTGTTGTTTTTTTTTTTTTTGTCAGTCATATTGTGATATAATTTTTAAAAAGTTATGAAATGGCGGTTTTACCTTTCAACCAATGACTGTAACTCAAACACAGTGAAGCAATAAAAACCTGCAAGATTTGAAGCTTTTGAATGAAAGAAAAGCCATTGGAATTGGGAAATGAGAAGACAAAGATTTGAAATCTCAAAGCAAAAGCAAAAGCAAAAGCAAAAGCAAAATGGTTTTGCATTTGAAATGTAAAAGAAAGGCATCTTTTTAGAGTTAGAAGGTTCCAAAAGCAAAGAAACGGACCATTGAAGAACAGAAAAGGAGAGCTGCAATTCTTTTGCACGTTCACTGCCGCCACCAATCGTCAACGCTCAGTTTATTGCTCCTTTCTATTTTTCAAATCGCCTAATAAACGACACCTACAAAAACAACCAAACCCATTTATTCACTTTTCCTTTTCGCCGATGTGTCGGTTTTCATTCCGCCTATTCAAATCCTGTTGCCCTCCCTTTCCTTTTCACTTCCTTTTTAAAAAAATATTATTCTATTTTAATTAAATAATCTCCACAACATTTCTTAAAAGACGTGGAACCTCTCTTCTAACATACGCGTTTTAAAACTGTGAAGTTGACGACGATACATAATGAGCCAAAGTAGACAATATCAGAGCAGGACGTTGGGCGGTGTGCCAGCTGGACTGAGAGATTCGACATTATTTGGAATTATTTGGAGAGGGGAACGAAACATTTATAAACCTCTCCCTAACAGATGCATTTTAAAATCATGAGGCTGACTAATGGGCTAAAACAAACCATGTCTATACTTAGGCTCTAACAGATAATAAGATCGAATCGTAGACGTATGGTAACAATGAAAATAACGCCTTGCTTGAATTCTACATTTGTTTTATGTTTTGTTACATAAATGAAAGGGCCACGACACAAGCTCAATAGCCCATATGGGTTTAGTTTCCAAAGACTCCTGATCTTTCGAGCCCAGGCCCAAGCCCAATAGAATAAACGAAAGGGCCGCGCAACACAGAAGCCCAATAGCCCATATTGGTTTAGTTTCCAAATACTCAAGAACTTTCGAGCCCAGGCCCAGCCCAACTAATGAACAAGCCATACTTATCGAGCCCAATACCATATAGTGGCCACCGACCGAACCGGTCCAAGCAAAAAGCTGAAATCAAAACGACGTCGCCTTTTCTTTTTGTAATTTAACGATTTTTAAATCTACCGATCATCAATACTGGTTCTATGAAGTTGCATATCCCTTGAAACGACGTCGCTTCCTCAAACTGCGCAGCGATTGGCGCTCTCGCTGTCACGCGGAATTGCACATCCGAAACTCCAGTCTGTACACCAATGATCTCGTCATTGCTATTTAAACCGTTTCAGACGCTCGCGAAAATTTCACTTTCGACTCCCTCACAATCATGAAGAATAGAATCCGTTTCGCTCTCTAGCAAAAGGAATACGATTCGTTTTTATCGAGTTTTTGTAATCCAGTGATGAACAAAAACGAACTGGAGAAAGGCACATGATGCTCCGAGAAGAGGAAGAACATGACGCTTAGCCTTCCATCTGCATTCACATCAGAAAATGTTCGTCATCGATCTCATTTCTCTCTCTGTTTCGCTCTTTCGTTCTATTTCTGTTACTGTTTTTGTTTGTTTGTTTAATTTTCCATTTAAAATCTCAGACGATTAGCGCGTGGATCGATTCGGAGGAGGATGATCGGAATCGGAGGAATGCGGCATCTCTGGCGTGCCATCGCCAGGTTCGAAAGCGATTCTGGAAGATAAGGTACGAGTTTCTTGTTCGCCATTTGCATTACTAGTTCCTACATCATGATTGTCTGGTTGTTGAGGAAGTGAATGAATGTTGGAGTCAGTTCAATACCTAAAGCGGACTAAATATCAAAATAGGTAGAAATTTATGTGCGGGAAAATTACTCGCGTTTCGGTTTCTTCCAAAGTAAACTGCCGCTCTTGCCAAGAACATTTAGCAACATTTGAACTTCAAATTAAGTGAAATTATCTAGGATGTGAATTTTACGAAATGGTCGAGTAGAGCCTTAGCACATAACTAAAAAGATAGAAACACTACAAATTTAACTAATTATTTATTTCAAATCTTTTAGAACAAAGAGTGAAGAAATTTTTTCAAAAATCTAATTTCTCATCAACACACGAACAAAAAGCGGGGTAAGATATTAAGTTACTTTTAAGCCCAATAATTAAATTTGTATTCGGGGAAGAGAAGTAGAAAACAGTTGGTTTTGGGCCTCTTGTAGGCCCAATAGGCATGTGGCCCAAATCTTAAAACCAAAAAAAAAAGAGCAGCACCCTTTATTTTCAGGGTTTCACATATGGTCGCCTTTTTTAAATAGTCAATTAATCAAATCAAGAAGTTTTTATTATTATTATTATTATTATTTTTACCAATCTTTCAACATATTCCTTTGCGAATTTAAATCTTTAATATAGTTTTGATTCTGTTTATTGATTGGATTAATTCATTTGATTAGTATTGATTGGATTGATTGGATTGATTGAATTTTAATCTTTAAATCTTTAATAAACCCTTTATGTTTATTGATTTTTTTTACCTGTAATCTATGCAATCTTCCATTGATTTTTCCTGCTAGAGGTATAAACTCTTTCAGATATTCGTTTTAAAGAACATTATATTATATAAATAACTAAAGACAAAAGTTTTAACCTAAAACACTTGCAAAAACAAAAAAACTAAAATAGAAAAACTAATTTCTAATTACTTAATTTACCTAAACTTTGATTAAATAATTAGTCTAAAACACATATTTTGCTCTAAAAAAATATGTATACTAATTATGTCAAGAAATAAAAGTTATTTTAATTAGGTTACAATTAAACTGTTAACTCTCTTTTAAATAATATTTAAATTGCAGCTTTAGTACACAAATTTTCAAGTTTGTATTTATTATTATTTTATCTAAGAACTATTTTGTATCCATTCTTAAATTTTTATTTGTTTTTAGTTTATCTATTAAATTATTTTTTTTAATTATTTAAGATTTTTTTTAAAGAATTCACTCCTCTACTATTTCTAAAATGGAAAGTTTAGAATCAATTCCATTAAAATTCACTTTTATATATGGTATATTAGTTAAATTTTATAATTTTCAAATATGTCATAACGATACATAATATAACTTTTTTTTTTTTTTTATATGTTATCCCTTTTAATATTTTAGTCATAATTAAATTGAAATTTTATTACATAATAAACCTTCTTTAAATAGTTAAGCCTGTTCTGGAGTGTTAAAATGTCCCAAGTTTATCTCTTCCAAAATTTATCTCATTAAAAAATTATCAAAAAAAAAATAGAAATTTGAATTTGTTTGAATTTATACTTCTTAGGTAGAAACCAAATAAATAAAAACTATAAAATTTATATTTTAGAATGATGGGGTGAAAGCTTACATAATAAATTAGGGGGTTTTTTTGGCTCCGTAAAAAGCGTAAGAAATTGGTTCCAAGTTCCAAATGTCACAGCCAAGGGCCGGTAACCACGCCCTAGATTGAGGTTTCAAATTTATTCTCCAAGCTAAACGTGTCACTTTCCACCGACATTAGGATTTGACTATAGAATTGGAGTGCACGTCTAGTTCCACCCAAGAATCGGGCGATTCTTTCCACTTAACTTTAATGGGTAAAGAAGTTATTAAAACTCAACCGCTTGAATTCGTTTAATGTACTAATTTAAACTATTAACTATGAAAATTTGAAATAGAAATATTAGCATATATTGCATGCCAATATAATGTGATTATTTCTTTTCTTGACTTGTATTTCGTTACGAGTGAAATTTCCTAATATTATTTTTTTTATGCTCTAATATTAGAAAATAGATTTAAATAGTGTCCGATGAACAACTCTCCACAATGGTATTATATTGTCCATTTTGAGCATAGGTTCTCACCATAATGGTATAATAGTGTCAACTTTGAACATAAGTTTTCATGTCTTTGCTTTAGGCTTTCCTAAAAGGCCTCATACCAAGAGAGAGTATTTTTTTATTATAAATCTTCTTTGAGTAAACCAATAGAGAGAGCATTCTTTGATTATAAATTCATGAATATTCCCCAAAAGGTCTCGTACCAATAGAGAGAGAGTATTCTTTGATTATAAATTTATGATTATTTCTGAATTAGCGGATGTGAGACTCTCATCATCGAACGGATAGATTTTTTTTTTTTTTTTTGAAAAAAATGATATGAAAAGGATTAAAATTAACTTGCATCTCTACTTTACATTTATACTTTTATCCTAATTCGTTAATTTAGAATTAGAAGAAGTAAACAATTTGGAGGGAATATTTATGTTTGCTTCTTTTCTTTAGAAGTGGAATTCAATTCTTATATACCTTTTGTCTAAAATCTTAAGTTTTCATATTTCTTTTGAAAGATCTTTTATTTTGAAAATGGAAAAAAAACCAATTGAACATTGGATAGCAAGACAATGCTTTTTACTTTTTAGCAACTTGAAGGAACATTTGTAATTGGCCATTCTTTATTATAAAGAAAAATGAAATATTTTATTTGTGGATAGGTAAGAATGAAAAAAAAAAAAAAAAAAAACACATGTTAAAATCAAATTATTTTTATTTTATTTCAATTATTTGATATGAAATTATTTATAAAATTAAAGAATATATTCTTGAAAATATTAGGTTTTCTTATTGATTTGATTTGAAATGTAAAATCATATTAGTTGTGTTGCATGAAAATGATAGTTTTTTTAAATTAAAAAATAGAAACAATTAAAAATTGTTTGTTTTTTTTTTTAATTATTGAACAATTTCCCATTTTCAAACATTATTAAAAAGGGATTTTGAGTTGGACTAAAAAACTTTATGGTCTTCATAACTTCAAAAAATTCTCAACCCTCTTAACCTCTAAAGTCTATTTGACTTTTTACAAAAAAGAAAAAAAAACCAAATCCAAATGTGGCAAGTTGATTTTTAACTTACCTAATTTTTTTAATTGTTATATCATTAAACTTTAGCAATTTATTCTTTTTATTAAAAAATTGAATAAAAATATATTTACGTTGAAATCTTATATCTTAGAGACTGTGAGTGGTTTGGAAATAGTTAAAAGACTATTTTTATTATATAAAAAAGTTACTAAAAAATATATTTTTTTTATCTTTTAAATTTTGAATAATTAATTAAAAACATGTTTTTAGAAGTATTTAATAATGCTAAGTTCTCCTCGGCATTTTGCCATTAAAATTTATATTTGAATCTTTGTAATGTTAGTTTTTAAATTAATAATATTAGTACCTCTTCTTACCCTTCTAAAAAATCTAAAATAAATATCAGCTATTTTTTTAAAGTTTCTATTTTCTATTTTATTTTTTCGCCAATAGGGTATAAGAATGTATGAAAATTGATACTTTTTTTTTTATTACACATAAAAAAAAAAAAAAATCAGATCGGAAAATAAATAGGATATCCCCTTCCATATACAAAGGAAAACTTTTCTTTAGAGAATTTCACACCCCAAGTAATGATTCTCTCCACTTCCATTCCCAAAACTAGAAAATGGGTAGGGACTTCCCCACTTTGTTTCCCTTTTCCAATTTCCCCCCCTTTTTCAGGTTCACCCTAAAATTAGTCTCTATTATTTTAAAAATTAGAATTTGCTAACGAATAATTTATACTAAAATAATAATGTCTCTATTTTATATCGTTTATTTAAAACAACTTTATTATTATTTCATTATTGAAAATTAAATGTTCTTAACTTCAAATCTAAGCTTTGGATTCTAATCTTTTTTCTTCCCCTTTTCAAGTCTTCCAATGTGCTCCCCTTATGCTTTCTCTTTCATGTTCCTATGTCTTCTCTATCTTTTCCCATAATTTCCTTTTATTTTTAATTATTTATTCAAAACTATAGTCGAAGTCGTTAGATGATGAAAGTCCCACATCGCTAATTTAGGGAATGGTCATGGGTTTATAATAAAATAATACACTTTTCATTGGTATGAGGTCTTTTGAAGAAACTCAAAGCAAAGCCATGAGAGCTTAGGCTCAAAGTGGACAATATCAAACCATTGTGGAAAGTCGTGTTCGTCTAACATGGTACCAAAGCCATGCCCTAAACTTAGTTGTACCAATAGATTGGTAAATTCTCAAATGTCGAACAAAGGACTCCAAAAGAAAAGGAGCCAAGCCTCCTCGAAGGCATAGTAAAAAATGACTAAGACTCCAAAGGAGTCGAGCCTCGATTAAGGGAAGACGTACTTTGTTTGAGGGAAGGTGTTGGAGGATGAAAGTCCCACATCACTAATTTAGGGAATGGTCATGAGTTTATAATCGAATAATACACTCTTCATTGGTATGAGACCTTTTGGGGAAGCCCAAAGCAAAAGCACGAGAGTTTATGCTCAAAATGGACAATATCATACAATTGTGAAAAGTTGTGTTCGTCTACAGAGGTAATAGATCATAATTTTAGTCTTTATTCATGTTTTTTTTCATTTAATTTATAAATTATTTTTTTAGATACATAAGGTTATAATTCAAACGAAATTTCATACTTTTAACTTATTAAATTAAGTTCTTAACTGACAATTTAAAAATTAAAATAATTGAAAGTCGGTTAGATATTCATGATTCAATATAATTTTGATTATCTCAGGAAATCATATATAATTCTTTATTTTTTTCATTTTCATCTCGTGAAATTTTATTAAAATTTTGACTTCAATATTCCTTGATTATCATACTCTTGTTTGTTTCGTTACTAATTGAAATCGATAATAATTTGGTTCTAAATATACTTATATTGTCAAATTTTAAAGGAAAAGATTGTCCACGTCTTATTGTTTTGTTTTGGCGTACAGCTGGTTTGGCTTTTACTTTGAGTAACAGCCACACACCTCAATCCGTTTTAATTACTAAAATTTTTATTAAAATATATATATATATATATATATATATTAAGTGGGTCACCTAATCTTTGACTTCATCTTTAAACCCATTTTTTAATTAATAAAATAATTTTATTCCTCACAATTTTTTATTGGGGGCGATAGTAACATGGTAATACTCTATGTTAATTCCTGCTTTAATTGATCGAAAAAAAGCATTATTTAGTAGAAAATGAGAACCCAAAATAATTGGAATTATTCAATTATTCAACTATATAGTATATATTCCAGCTTAGAAAGCAAGCTCTCTTTTCTACAACAAAAAGAAGATAAATAAAATTAAATAATAGATTAAAAGCACAATCTTTTTTATTTACTTATCAAATCAGTCACTTACTTCACTTTATCTCATATGGATTCTATTTGCATGATCAAAGTCACTATGAGTGGCGGATGAGCTGGAATCTTCTTGGTTCTTGGCCATTTTAATTTTTTATTGTTTTTTTTTTGTCTATTAAATTTGAGATTTTTTTTTTTTTTTGGTTTAATAGGGTATTCATATATTCAAATTTTATTTTAAATTAATTGATCTATTAAATTTTAAATTCAGTCAAACTTTAATTTTTTAATTTTTTGTTCGGCATGTTTGAAAATTATAAAAATATAGAATTATGGAATGATCGAATACAAAATTAAAAATTTAACTTATTAAATATAAAATTTAAAAGATAAGGGAATGAAATATTAGAAATTTAAGGACGGACAAAAAATGTCAACCAAAAAATGCACTTAAAACAAAGCACTTGCGGATTAAAATGAGTGGTTTTGCCTTTATTGGAAAATGGTTTTAAATTATAATCAAATTAATAATTAAATATACCACCATGCATGCCCTTATATTATTCATTTATTATAGTCAAATGTTTGTATTTTGAATTGGACTTTTTCTAAAACAAGTAAATTTGTGTTTATTTATTATATATATATATATATATATATATATATATATATATATTTAAAATTAATTACAAATTTATTTACAAAATTTTGGAATTTGTGTTTATTTATTATTGAAACTTTCAAAATTAAAAATTAAAATTTTTTGTTTTTAAATATAATTTACAAATCAAACAAAAATTTAATATTTATTATAAAAAATATATATTTTAAAAATAAATTACAAATTTATTTACAAAATTTTGGACTTTGTGTTTATTTATTATTCGAACTTTCAAAATTAAAAACTAACATTTTTTGTTTTTAAATATAATTTATGATTAGACATAAAATTTAATATTTATTTTAAATATATATTTTTTAAAATTAATTACAAATTTATTTACAAAATTTTGGAATTTGTGTTTATTTATTATTCAAACTTTCAAAATTAAAAACTAAAATTTTTGTTTTCAAATATAATTTATGAATCAAACACATAAAATTTAATATTTATTATAAAATATATATTTTTTAAAATTAATGAAAATTTTATTTACAAAATTTTGGAATTTGTGTTTATTTATTATTGAAATTTTCACAATTAAAAATTAAAATTTTTTGTTTTTAAATATAATTTGTGAATCAAACACAAAATTTCATTAAACATAAAATTTAATTTAATTTTATATCGGATCGATTTTTTTTTTTAAATATAATTTTTGAAAACTTAATGTAAACATAGAGCATTGTAGTTTCTTGTGCAATCATGTTTAGGCGTTGTTTGGTGGGACAAACAATATCCAAACTTTTTGGTAGAGGAGGAGTTGGGATATTGAGAGGTATGGTTTGGATGAATTTGACTGTCCAAACGCAGCCTTGTGGGATTGGTCGATGTGAATTTAGTAGGATTTTGAAAAAAAAATCAAAATATTTAGTGATTAATCAACTATAGATGTCCTAGACTTCATTGCCCGTCACAACCTACTGTCACTCATGGGACTTATAGTAGAGATACACTCTCAGCTGCCGAACATAGTTAACTTCAAGAGTCCACGTAAAGCTTATTTGTAATGATTTTTAAATTAATGAGAATTTTGAATTGGATGATGCCCGTTAAATTCTTTAACTGGACGATGAAGAAATTTCTACTTTAAAAAGCATTTACGAGAATTAATACTTTTGTTTCATTATAGAGTTCTATTTTTCTCGAAATTACCCATATGACTTGGTTTGAGAAAATTTGAAAATTCAAAAAAAAAAAAAAAATAATAATAAATAAATATATATATATATATATATATATATATTTGTTTTTAAGGTAATAAAAATGGAGATGATGGTATAGAATACTCACAATGTGGTGTCGGATGTACAAAAGATCACATGGTTGACAGCCTTATGAAACTAAGACGGCTATGGACCCCACTCGAGACTATGATAAGTTTGGTGGGAGACTTTCCACCAAATCACTACCCACCAAAATCTGTACCCTACAACCAAAATTAGCAAAAATATTATTCGCCCAATCAAACAATTTCTTTTAAAAAAAGAAAAAAAAAAAAAAAACAGAGAAAACTGTATTATGAGTCCTAATTGACCAAAGGTAAAATTCATGTCCATATGATCTATAATTTACAAAAATAATTTGTAATTTTTAAAAATAAAAATCTATTAAGTTGTTTTTTAGATTTTTTTCTATTTTAGTTTTACAACAAAGAAATAACTTATTTTATGTATTAATATATGGTCGTTATCTTGCCCGATAAATAAAATTAAACTATTATTTAATATATTCTCAAATAGTTATACGCTACAATTAAAATTTTAAATTTTACTTAGACCATGGGCTAAATCTAGCAGGCACAACTTGGGTATGTTGACTTAGCAAGATTTTTCTATTTTTTTTTTTAATTTTAATTTTATGTCTTGTTTATTATTGAAAATTATTTATTTATTTAAATAGAAAACGGACATGATTAAAAATGATATTTTATGGATCGATATTAATAAATTGACGTTTTAAAATTAAATGGATAAATTGTTCAAATTCCAAGAAATGAAAAAAAAAATAATAATAATAATTCAGAAGAAGATAACGGAGGCGAGTGTGTAGAATGGAAGGAAAATTTCGCGGGACAGCCGTGTAGGCCCCACTTAGCAGGCCCGTTGTCCGAGCTGGACAGCTCACCTACGACGATTCTTTCACTCCATGTGACTCTCTCAAAAAATATTTTTAAATAAAATATTATATATATATATATATATATATTTAAAAGGTATAATAAAATGGATACTTGGTTAATTTATTATTTTATTTTTTCATCGTATATATTTGATCCGACCTAATCTCCTTAGAAACCGTCTTGGTTACAGCTATATATTAAAAATATTGTTTATCGGAACATAATTTAGAGGATAAAATTCTAATTATCATTCTTATGTCGATAGTTTTGTCTCGATCTGATTTAATTTTTATTTCAAGAGATTTTACTAATAGATAATTAACCAATTTTATGGGATATTTAAATTTATAATTTTGAAGTAAATATTGGTGAAGCTAAGTTGACTTTTTGGTCACCAATTGCAAAAATTAAATTAAAATTAATGAAATTACAAGAAGGTAAATCAAACAACTAAGTACAAATTAAAGAATAAGGTATGGAGGGTAAAATGGTAATTTTAAGTATAAATTAAATTCCTTCAAACGGCCGAAATCGCGTATATGAGAAAGAAAAAAAAAAGAGGAAGAAAAAGCACGCCTCGTTGGCCGCGTCTGCGTCAGCTGGTTCTCTAAGACCATTATTCTCTGTCTATGTAGAGAGAGAAAGTGGGGAGAATTTTGATTTATCAACAATCTCAAATGAATTTGATTTTAATTTTGAACTCATCAACATAATCCATTTTGTAGTTTTTCGTTTTTGATTTTTCTTTTTTTGTAAGAGTTTTTGATTTCGGATTTTTGATCACTGGTTTTTTCCCCTTCTTCCGATGTCAACCCCTACTCCGGCGCCGACGTCTCCGCCGGTTACCAATACTACATCTCCGCCGCCGGTTACTCCCAGTGCGCCGCCGCCATCGACACCTTCGCAGCCGCCACCGGCCGCTACACCTCCACCAACTACCACTCCGCCTGCCGCTGCAACGCCGCCCGCTCCTTCTCAGCCTCCGCCGACATCCGCCCCACCTCCGGCCACTCCCTCTTCACCACCACCGGTTACTCCCCAGCCCACCCCGCCCACTGGCTCTCCCTCGAGGCCATCTCCCTCTCCTCCGCCATCTACTCCCTCAACTTCTCCACCTCCTCCGTCTCCTCCGGGCGGCCACAGTCCGCCTCCTCCGACTTCTCATACGCCGTCCACTCCGTCAAGAAGTCCTCCGCCTCCATCAAGACCGTCATCATCGCCGCCTTCCTCCTCCTCCTCGCCTAATATTTCAACTGGACTTGTCGTCGGAATCGCAATTGGTGGAGTCGTAATTGTTCTTTTGCTAAGTATAATGTGTCTTTGTTGCACGAAGAAGAGGAGAAGACGACGTGATGAAGAAGGATTCTATCCACACCCTCCGTCAGGACCAAAAGGTAAAACGATCACCGGAAATTTAGCGGCACTCCAAATTTTTAGGGTTTACTGAATTCTTGCTGTTCTTCATTTGAATCGATCAAATTTTAATCTCCTTTAATCGATTGAAGTATTGCTCTCATGATTCTTATTCGCCTGATTGTATGATTCATGTCTGCCATGGCAACACTTCAGATCATCAATTTGCTTATTTCCGCCATTTTAGATGACCTTATTTGCTTCTGCTATTTTGTTGTTCACAGTGGACCCTTATGGTGGCCAGCAGCAATGGCAGCACAATGCTCCTCCGCCACCCGATCCATTAATCGGGATGGCGCCTAAGCCATCTCCTCCTCCTGCCGTTGCATCCCGACCCCTGCACTCGCCGACCGGGAGTCGGCCCCCGCCTCCACAGCTTTATATGAGTAGCAGTGGAGGTTCAGGCTCTATGTATTCTGGCTCTGAAAATCCACTCCCTCCGCCCCCGCCACCTCCTATGGCCTTTGGTTTCTCAAAAAGTACTTTCACTTATGAGGAATTGTCAATGGCGACCGATGGATTTTCAGATGCGAATCTCCTCGGACAAGGCGGATTCGGATATGTTCATAGAGGAGTTCTTCCTAATGGCAAGGAAGTTGCAGTCAAGCAGCTGAAAGTCGGGAGCGGGCAAGGCGAACGAGAATTTCAGGCCGAAGTCGATATTATCAGCCGAGTTCATCATAAACATCTTGTTTCTTTGGTTGGATATTGCATAACTGGGTCTCAAAGATTGCTTGTTTATGAGTTTGTTCCAAACAACACTTTGGAGTTTCATTTACATGGTAAAGCTAAATCATTGTAATATGCAATCTTATATAAGAACTTAGCTCTGCTAAAGGTTTACACATTCATAGTTTTGATCGATATCTTCATCGTTGCAGGTAAAGGGCGACCGACCATGGATTGGCAGACGAGACTTAGAATCGCTTTAGGATCGGCAAAGGGATTAGCTTATCTTCATGAGGATTGTAAGTGTTTTTTATGGTAACTTTATAGAATTATGGATATGGATATTGTTGGTTAAGGTATTCGGTTTCGACTCTTTTGTTTAATAGGTCACCCGAAAATCATTCATCGCGATATTAAAGCTGCTAATATTCTGTTGGATTTCAAGTTTGAAGCAATGGTATTGAAGTTTAGTTTCATTAATTGAGCTTTAGTTTTCTTATTGTTGTTCTGGCTGAGAGCTGAATCTGCATTTGTGATCATTTTCCTTAACGATACGTTTGTGCCGGGCCGATATCGAATGTAGCTAAGCTAAACTCCAATGGAGTCGTTTTAAAATCTTGGAAAAATTAAGGATCTGTTATGTTCTTCTCGTTCGGATGCTAAGGCAACTCTGTTTGTTTAACTAGGTTGCTGATTTTGGACTTGCAAAGTTTTCTTCTGATGTTAATACCCACGTGTCGACTCGAGTGATGGGTACTTTCGGGTATGACGTTTCTCGACTCCTATTTTTTTCAAATGCTGTTCGAGGAAGATTGCCATTTACTGCTTATTGTGTTTCTAGAATGAATTTAGAGTCATAGCGAGTGTGAGATCCCACGTCGGTTGGAGAGGGGAACGAAGCATTCTTATAAGGGTGTGGAAACCTCTCTCTAGCAGACCGATTTTAATAACCTTGAGGGAAAGCCCAAAGACGACAATATTTGCTAGCGGTGTGCTTGAGCTGTTACAAATGGTGTTAGAGCCATTCACCGGACAGTGTGCCAACGAGGACGCTGGGTTCCCAAGGGGGGTGGATTGTGAGATCCCACATCGGTTGGAGAGGGGAACGAAGCATTTCTTATAAGGATGTGGAAACCTCTACCTAGCAGACGCGTTTTAAAAACCTTGAGGGGAAGTCCAGAAGAGAAAGCCCAAAAAGGACAATATCTCGAGCACGAGCAGTGTTTCGAAATGCAATAGATATCATGTCTGATCCCGAAGAACTACTTGATTCTCAGCTGCATCATATTGTCGTAATCTTCACCTATGCGATGTCGATGAGATCTTGCGTCCTAGATTTTGGTGGAATGAATCTTTAGTTAAGGTTGCATAACTAATGTCGAATCTTTGGTCGTTTTTTTCTTCTCAATCTTTCCCATCACACGCTCAGCTATCTTGCACCGGAGTATGCCTCGAGTGGCAAACTTACTGAGAAGTCGGATGTTTTCTCCTTTGGGGTTATGCTTTTGGAGTTGATCACTGGTCGTCGACCGGTCGATACGAGTAATACTTTCATGGAAGATAGTCTTGTAGACTGGGTAAGTTCTCATATCGTTTACGAACTTCGCATTAACAGTGTTAGCTTCTGTGTTTTGTTTTGAATTCAGTTGCATATCATAAACATCACAAATGATCAAATCTGTTCGATCCGTTACAGGCCAGGCCGTTACTGAACCGAGCTCTAGAAGATGGAAACTTCGATGCTTTGATCGATCCGAGTATTCAGAACAACTACAACCACACTGAGATGGCTCGTATGATCGAATGTGCTGCTGCTTGCGTGCGACATTCTGCAAGGCGTCGACCTCGAATGAGCCAGGTAAATGAGTTAAAATCCCTCCAATATTGCACTCAATGTGGGTACACTGAGCCCTCTACAACCATGAACCGAGCAGGTAGTACGAACGCTCGAAGGAGACGCATCACTATCGGATCTCAACGAAGGAATCAAACCCGGGCAGAGCTCGATGTATAGTTCTCATGGAAGCTCAGACTATGACACCCATCAGTACAACGAGGACTTGAGGAAGTTCAGGAAGATGGCACTGGGAAGCTCGGAGTATGGAGCGAGTAGCGAGTACAGCCGACCGACGAGCGAGTACGGGCTGTATCCGTCGGGGACGAGCAGCGAAGGGCAAACGACTAGAGAAATGGAGATGAGAACAGTGAAGAAAGAGAGTGGAGGCTTCAGTGGAAACAATTGAAACACAAAGCTTTGCCTTTCTTTTTCTGTGTAAAGAAACAAACCCAGGCTGTTATTTTGGCTTTGATTGATACAAAAAATAGCTATATTTTCACATTGATTTAACCCCATTTTTTTCCCTTTATTTCTTTTTCTTTTTCTTTTTCTTTTCTTTTTTTCTTTTTGGCTATCATGTTTTCACATTGTATTTATAATTATTATGGCAACTTCATTATTCTTTTTATTCTTTTTTTTTTTTTT